TTTTTTTCTTCTACATTATTAATTGATCTTCTGTAAAACAGAATACTGACTGAGGCTATTGGTTCATTCTGAAGTATAGTTCTAAAAACTAGTTACTGCATAGATGACCTATATTTTTGTTTAACCTCCTTTTTCAGTAGCATTGAGACTTATAGATTGTTAAAGATTTTATGTGTTGCAGTCAACTTCAGACATAATTCTCACAATTTTAACATAGGAAAAGAACCGTTTAAGCTGATCACTATGCCTCTTTGTATGATACTGTGTTAATTGTAGAGATTTTTAAACATAAAGTATGTAGCTAGTTATACAGTATACCTGTTAGTTAGATTTAGCAGTTAATATTTTTCCAGTGTTGGTCCAATACCCTCTCCTTTTCCTTTTTCTGATTAGGGTCTTGCTCTATGGCTCAGGCTGACCTCAAGCTCATAATCTTGCCTCAGTCTCCTGAGCACTGCAGCTCCATACCTGGTTTTCCTACAGCTTTTTTGAAAGACCCCTGGATTGTGATTCCATTTTCTTTGTTTTCTGTCGTGATTCCACACCTGGAATCATCCATTTCTCTAAGAAGTCTTGATTGTTTTTAATAAGGAATGGTATCGAATATAAATCTTGGCATTAGAGTTATTGAAGGTTTTTTAAGTGTTTCTTATTTTGTTTTGATTTCTATACCTTCATGCACCTTTCCATAATGGCATCATTGTTCTATAAGCAGTTACTCATATTTGAGTAGAGGAGGAAAGGCACTCCTCAAAGATGTAACAAAGAGCTTTATATTAGCCAGGCATGGTGGCACATGCCTTTAATCCCAGCACTTGAGAGGCAGAGTCAGGCATATCTCTGTGAGTTCCACGCCAGCTGGGGCTACAGGGAGACTGTGTCTCAAAAACACCAAAACAAACAAACAAAAAAGCTTTATATTTCTATTTTTAAAATTGATTGTGTGGGTGTGTTCCTGATGGTGGGGGTAGGTCTGCCATGGCACGCATGCAGGGATCAGAGGACAACTTTGTGGAGTTGGTTCTCCTTCCATGTTTATGTGGGTTCCAAGGATCAAATTCATATCATCAGACTTGTGCAAGTGCTTCTATATGCTGAACCATCTTGTCTGCCTGATATTTCTATTAAACTAGTCAAAATGTCAAGCAAAGCTGATACATTATTTAAATGTTAACACCTGATTGTTTTTGTTCTGTTTGCCTCTTTGCAACATAAGGAAACCCTTGATTTATGAGTGTATGACCTTTGAAAGTTTGCTTGTACCATATTTTGTGTTGTTTTGTATTATTTCCATTTTTGTTTTGCTGTTTTTACATCATTTCGTACTTTTCTCATGGCAGTGAGGTAAATGCTAAAATATTACAAATTGAGTATTTCTAATCCAAAAAGAAATTCTAAATGTTCCCCCATCCAATTTTTTTAAACACTGATATGATGGTACAGTGGGAAATTTTATACTATGAAACTGTTTTGTGTACAAAACCATTAAAAATTTGGGGCTGAGGCTGGAGAGATGGCTCAGCAATTAAGAGCACTGGCTGTTCTTGCAGACGATGAGGGTGCAATTCCCAGCACCCACATGGCAGCTAACAGCCGTCTGTAACTCCAGATCCAGGGGGATCTGATGCTCTCTTCTGATCTCCACTTGCATTACATTCTGACACAGGTGCACTTACATACATGCAGGCAATACACTCATACACCTAAAATAAAAATAATAAAACATTTTTAAAAATTGGGAGCTGGAGAGACGGCTCAGTGGTTAAGAGCACTGACTCCTCTTGCAGAGGACCCAACACCTACATTAGGTGGCTCACAGCCACCTGTAACATCAGTTCCAGAGGATTAGACACCCTCTTCTGGTCTCCATGGGCACCTACATGCATGTAATGTACATACACATACTCAGGCACAAACACAGAAAATAAAAAAATATCTTTAAGGGCTGGAGAGATGGCTCAGTTGTTAAGAGCACTGGTTGTTCTTACAGAAGACCTGGGTTCAAATCCAAGCACCCACATGGCGGCTAAGAGTTGTCCATAACTCCAGTTCCAGGGGAATCTGATGCCCTCTTCTGATATCCTGGGGCACTGCACAACATGGGTGCACTTACATACGTGCAGGCGGTACACTCATACACATAAAATAAAAATAAATAAAATATTAAAAAAATAAATCTTTAAAAAATACTATATAAATTCATTTTCAGGCTCAGTATAATACATTTTATGAAATATAGATGAATTTTGTGGTTAGATTTGAGTCCCATCCCCAAGATATCACATATATGCAGATGTCCCAAGACCTGAAAAAATATGAAACATTCAGACACTCAACTTGTATTGCTCTTCCAGCCTTTAATCCTGTAATTTTCAAGTACAGATTTTTACTTCCATTCCTTCTTCATGTCCCACTGAATTAAAATGTCTAGAAAAGAGAAATGAAGAAGCAAGTGACGAGGAGGACTGCCAAAGGATAACAGGTGCACAGACCTTTGTGTACCACAAGGTCCAACTGCACCTTCTGTTCACTCCTCCATACCTCTCTCATCCCTGCCCTTGGACTGGAGATAGCTGGCATTAATTCCAGGTGAAACTACAGGCAGATTTTCTTTAGAGAAATTGGGAAAGCTAAGTTCTAAAGTGCATGTATGTCTCCAGAACAAAAGGAAAAAGCCATCTTGGCTCTGATATTTAGAGGGTCTGCTGCCTCTCCACCCACTCTCCTTACAGGAACACTGCTGTTAGCTCCTGCCTACTGACACAAAGCTTACTCTTTCCATCCCCCAGGAGTACAATCTAGCCAAAAAAAAAAAAAAAAAAAAAAAAAAAAAAAAGACTATCTTCACAATAACAGGAAATAATATGTTGACTAATGAGTCATCCTGTCTCAAATATGAGTGAATAACCAGAAATCACTAGGCATGTAAGGAGAACTAATAGCATGAAAAAGAAGGGGGGTGGGGCGAAGCCAGTGGAATAAACAAGTAATCACAGAGAACTTTATTCATTTATTTTTTTTATTGTTTCAAACTTTTTGAGACAAGGTCTCCCTGTAGCCCCAGCTGGCCTGGAATTCACTATAAACCAACTCATAGAGATCCGCCTGCCTCTGCCTCCCAAGTGCTGAGACTAAAGGCATGTGCCACCACACCCGGCAGAGAACTTTATTTTAAAAAGAACTCTTAGGCACTTAGAGAAGAAGATAGAAGAAGATAGCATTTGAATTAAACAGCAAGGCAGCATACATTGTCACATGGAAAGGGCACACCTGGTACAGAAAGAGAGTCAAACATCATACCATCTTCTCAAAACTGCAGAGTTTGTAAGATAAATAAAAGATTCTGAGTGAAGTCATGTCCATAGCAACTAGTATCAGACTACAGTCAAACCCAGTCAGTAACCTTTGTACTGTAAGTACTGCCCAAGACTTTGAAAGAAAGACATGCAGTACAGGAATCTGCATGCTGCCTGACCGTGAAGAGGGAGGGCAGAATTAGTTGGTTTTAGGCACTCAAAGGCTTAAAACTTACCTTCTCTTGGAATTAGGAGAAATGAGTGGATTATATTTATCTTTAACTTTCTTAAACAGAAATTTATGTTTTAATTGTTCACGAAACATTTTCATTTGAGGATTTGTTCTTTTTATCTTATACCTGCCTAAAAATTTTGTGGTGGGGAAAGTGAGAAGGTATTACAAACTAAGTAAATAATTGTGGTTTTACAGAACAGCTGTGGCAAACATAGATTACACTTGACATCTCTTTACCCTGAGCAGCCTGGAGTATACCATACAATGCACATGAAACTAATATATAATTTATTATGTTCTCCAATGACTCCTGCTTTGTTGTCACAACTAGCTGGTACACCATAGGGCCAGCAGGGCCAACAGCATCCGTTTTCTCCCATCAGGATTGAGTGGCATCATCTGACTTAAATATAAAAGCATCATTCTGATTGCTGTACTTCAAATAGACTTGGGGATGAAGTCCTAAGGCTTGAGTAGAGCCAGTTTAGTTCTCAGTGCTGTGTTGTAGGTGAAAACTGACAGTAGCTCTGACATAGTGGCAGAAGTGAAGTTGGTGAAAAGACAACTCCCTGATTAGATTACATACTGAATGAACAAGATAGAAATCAAAGTTAGTCCAAGCAATAGGAAGAGCAAAACAGTTAGGGGGAAAGATCTCGAATTAAGTTTTGAGTGTTTTAGTTCAGAAGTTTATTTGACTTCCAAGTAAAGATATCAGTCATTTGGATTGGCCCTTGGATATGTGTATCTCCAGTTCTAAAGAAAATCTAGACTGGAAATAGAATTTGGGGATAGGCAGCATATAAATTGTTTTTAAAGGCACAAGGTCTGTCTGAGATCACTGGGAATGAACAGAGATGAAGTCTGAAGCTGGGACAGGAAGGCCTGCTAACATTTAAGGATCAGAGAGGTAAGAAGAAAGACTCAGAGAAGACTTTAGGAAGAGCAGCCAGTGTGGGCAAGAAGAAGAACAGGAACAGAATGCCCTGGAAAGCATAGGATGCAGAAAAGGATGGGTTATCTACTAAGTCCAATAGAATGAACAAAACAAAATCAGTGCTGGGCCTAGCAACATGAGGGCCAGTGCTCTCCTTGCAAAGATCTGCTGCATTTTTTTTCAGACAACCACTAAGGGGCTAGGACACCATTGTTTAAGTTGTTTGGTCAGCACTACTTTTAAAATGTTAAGGTATTTCTTTAAGTTTAGGGTGTATTGTGAAAAATTACTGGCATACCAAAGGAGCTGGGACTAAAAATTTGGGCATCTCTGCTTTAGAGAATTATATTAATTGAGCATTTTGCCTCTTGCCTTTTATTTGCCCATGCTGAAAAGTTTGAGGTAGTAACTTTAAATATAAGATTGCATGGATTTGATAAATGTTTACTTTGATACTTTTTGAATGAAGTAAACCTTATCCAGTGAAATGTCAGTGACATCTTCGCATGAATTTTTCTTCTTGTTTCTATAGGTATGGTCTGAATATGCGTTGTTTGGCAGCTCGGGTCAACTATAAGACTTTGATTATCATCTGTGCACTCTTCACTTTCGTCACAGTACTTTTGTGGAATAAGTGTTCCAGTGACAAAGCAATCCAGTTTCCACGGCACTTGAGTGGTGGATTCAGAGTGGATGGATTAGAAAAAAGAACAGCATCTGAGAGTAACCACTATGTCAACCACATGGCCAAGCAGCAGTTGGAGGAGGCATTCCCTCAGGAACAGCAGAAAGCACCCCCTGTTGTTGGGGGCTTCAATGGCAATGCGGGGAGCAAGGTGCTAGGGCTCAAATATGAAGAGATTGATTGTCTCATAAATGATGAACACACAATTAAAGGGAGGCGAGAAGGGAGTGAAGTCTTTCTTCCCTTCACTTGGGTAGAGAAATACTTTGATGTTTATGGAAAGGTGGTCCAGTATGATGGCTACGATCGATTTGAGTTCTCTCATAGCTATTCCAAAGTCTATGCGCAGAGAGCCCCTTACCATCCTGATGGTGTGTTTATGTCCTTTGAAGGCTACAATGTGGAAGTCCGAGACAGAGTCAAGTGTATAAGTGGAGTTGAAGGTTGGTGTCTGTTTTCTGTACTTGCATTTTGTAGCCTGATTGTGTTCAGGACTAAGAAACTGTAGGTGTTAATTACACAGCCTCTACATACTTAGCTTAACGGGAAGAACCCTTTCATTGTTGCTCTGTCTTAGCATGGAGAAACAGGTAAGTGTAAATCTATGGAAGTTTTCCAATTGGTATGCTCTAAGAACAGCAATAAGACCAGACTGAATAAATATGATCATTCTATTAATCTGCCTCAGAGTCTCATCAGTAAGGTCCAGACACAGTTTCTCCAGAAAATTTGCTTCAAAATATATACCTACTGAGCCATGAATGTGGCTAAGTGGTACAGCATTTACCTAACATGCACTGGGCCCCAAGTTCAGTCCCCAGTACCACAAAAACAAAACACACACACACACACGCGCACACACACACACACAAATTGTGTAATGAAAGGAAAGGGGGCAACAGACCATCTTCTGGCTACCGTCTCTGGAGGGAGCTGCAAGTGACTGTTCCTTTGAGCTTATTCTTACTGCCCATAATTTACACATACTGTCTTTAATTACCTTTCAAAACTTGGCACGGGCTGGGGAGATGGCTTAGTGAATAAATAACTTCTTATGAAAGCGTGAGGACTGGTGTTGGAGTCCTTAGGATCCCCTGTGCCACTTTTAATCCCAACACAGACAGACATGGGATCTCCAGAACAAGTTGGCTAGCCAGGCTAGCTGAATTAAATCAGTGAACACCAGGTTATTAATACATAAAGCGAAAAGTGATTGTGGACAACACAGCAGTGTCAACTTTGGGCCTCTACACATAAGCATATACATACATGTGTACCCACACACAAACATGCGTACATACCCACTCACACTCTTAAAAACCTGGAATATTTGGAGTGCTTGGTGCATGTAATTAGTACATTTTAAACTTTTCAGACCAAGATTAACCAGAAAGATAAATTGACTTTTACTTTAAACTACATCATAAATTGAATGTGTTTGATAATATTTGCCTTGGATGTTATTTTATTTCACTTTCCTCATTTTGTTATATATGTTTTTATATCTTGATACTAACTTTTAAGAAACATTCTTTTCAGTTACTTTTATTTATGTACATGTGCTTACTGCAGTGCTTGTGGAGGTCAGAGGATAATTTGCAGGAGTTGGTTCTCTCCTACTGTGTAGGTCCAGGGATCAAACTCGTATTGTCAGACTTGGTGGCAGGCACCTTTTCCTACTGAGCCATCTCTCTGGCCCTTACTACTAATTTCAGTATTAAATTTAATATTACAATCTGTGTCCAAACAAGCTTTTGGCTTAATACATATTTTTGTTTTGGAGGAAAGTTTGTGCTCATCTGGTGAATTTAAATATTTCCAGACTCAAGTCAAAGACCTATAACCTATGTCTGTGAAGTTAGTTGGTATCTATGCATTAAGTAAGTGTTTAAATAGTATTTTAACCAAATGTTTAGGTGAAAGAAAGGGACAAATTCATTTACACTGTATTTTTACTATCGCAAGTAATGATGGCCATTTTTGTATATTCCCTAGAGGTCTTTGTCCTTAGACTTATACTTAACATATATTCAATAATTCATGAAAGGAATAGTTTGATAGGGATTTCAAAGATACCCATAGCCAAACTAATAGCACTTAGATTCTAAAGAAAAAATGAAAAGCACTCATAATCACTATTAATATTAATTTATTATTTTATGTGTATGAGTGTTTTGCCTGAGCATATGTAAGTATAGCACATTCATGCGATGCCTGCAGAGGCCAGAAGAGGGGATCAGATCCCCTGGAACTGGAATTATGAACAGTTGTTAGCCACCATGTGGGTGCTGGAAACCAAACCCAGGAAGAGCAGCCAGTGTTCTTAACTACTGAGCCATCTCTCCAGACCCTTTTTGAGCATTTTAATGACTAATATTCCATAGTGAGAACATGTCATGTTGTGTTAATGTTGAGACTCCGCAGTTGTTTACTTGGGTCATTTCCAGAGGGGCAGGGAATGTTCTGTTTTGTTCCCTCCCTCCCTGCTTTCCTTCTTTCCTTCTTTTTTTTCTCTTTTTCTTTCCTTCTGTTTTTGCTGTTATACATAATGCTGCAGATATTTAGTGTTAATTTTAATTTGCTATTTGAATTATATTCTCAGTACTTTATTCCCTCTTTGAGAATGTAGTTCCCTGCCATACCAAAGAAATTGCCATGTCAAGTCATACAAATCCTCCATCTGTTTTGTCAATCTGCTTTTCAGAAAAGTCAGAGGTGCTCGTGTCTCCTTGTAAGAGGGTGTGCTTGACATCCAGCTCTTGCTGTGTTGGAGCATTGTGTTTTAATCAGCTCTTCATAGAAGGATCTCGTAATTTTCTTTTTTTCTTTCTTTTACTGATATTGTGGCTAGCACTCAAAACCCTCCTGCCTTAGCACTTCTCCTGAGTATAGAATTATAGGCATGACCACCACCCAACAGCTTTCATAATTTGCTTTCTTTAGTAATTACTGAAGTCAAATAATTTTCTTCAGATGTGCAAAACAATGTCTTCGTGTTCTTTCTCCCTTTCAGATACTTTCTCTAATGCAATTAGTTTGATTGTTTAAATGTATTTGTATAAAGTATTTATGTAGTAAAGGAGCAGTACACTGTGACATTCACTGACATTTTTAACCTTTTTTTTTTTTTTTTTTTTTTTTTTTGAGACAGAGTGTCATACAGACCGAGCTGACCTTTAACTTCTTATCCTCATGCTTTTACCTCCCAAGTACCGGAATTACAGACATATACCATCACATGCTTCGTTTTGCATGACTCGTATGTGGTGCTGGGGATCAAACCCAAGGCTTCGTCCATGCTAGGCGCACACTCTACCAACTGAGCTATGTCCCCAGTCCTAAAAATACTTCCTTCAATTTGATTGTCTTTTATTTAGAACTTGTTACTTTTAAAGATTTTTACTTCTGTTGACTAAATTAATAGATATCTTTGGTTGTTTGCAATGTCTTCATTTTGTGCTTAGAAAGGCATTTGCTATACCATGATGAGATTTTCATTTGTATTTTCTACAATAGTTGTCTTCTCTTGTTGTTTTACATTTAGCGTTTTGTGTGAGGCTCATACCTAGAACCTCATGTGTTAGATAAACATTCCTACATTTTTTTCATTCCTGCTGAATTGATTTATATTTTTGAAAAATGCCATAAGGTCAGTTCTAATTTTAGATGGCCCACCCCAGCATGTATTGAGTGAGCTCTTTCTACAGAGACTTGAATGCAGTCTTTATCATTGTGCTAAATCTTATGAATACTGGACGGTGTTTGTGGCCCACTGTCTGTTCTATTGATCAGGTTTCAATGCTTATGCCAATTTTACATCATTGTAATTATCATCTCTCTTTAACAAGACTATATAAACCTACCTTTTAATTAGTGAGATAATGCTACTTAACTTTGGGGAATTGCTCCCTTGGAGAAAGGTTATTATAAAGCTTACTTATAAAGCCCGGATTGCTTCACCTGGATAGCTGCTGTATTAGTGAAATTTTTGTTGCTATAACAAAATACCTGAGACCAGATACTTAATAAGGAAAAGTTTGACTCAGTGTTGGAAGCTAATTAAAAGTCCAAGCAGCATGTTGCTGATTTTAGTCAGGGCCCGTGGATTTTGTCACATCATGGATGGCATTGTGGAGGGAGGGAACACTTAGGAAAGAGATCATATGATGAGACAGGAGTGAGAGCATTGAGAGGCACACTCTTAGGCCAAAAACCCACTATTTCTTAAATTGCCAGTCCCTGCTGTGCCTATCAGATGCTTGATAATTCATTTTAGAACTACAGATGAGAGTTTATTTTGCAACACTGCCATGTGATTGAACACTACAGTATTCTGGTCAGTGCACCATTGTAGTCCCTGTGTAGGAAATCACTGGAATAAACACTGATACTAGCATTTAAAGGTTTTACTTAGAATTTTTAAAGACATAATCTATTAATGTAGTATTTCAAAAATGTAAATGGAAATTTTTAAAAAATACAATGAGAGAGAGAGAGAGGAAGATATCCCACCTCTGGTCTCTACATGTACACGCATAGGTAAGCATATGTGCATACACACACACACACACACAAATTTATGGTCAGCCAGGCATGGTGGCGTACACATTTAATTCCAGTACTCAGGAGGCTGTGGAAGGAGGAATTCCATGTGAATTCCATCCTCATTCTTTAGAACTCTTTTGCAAGAGAGATTTGGAAAACAAAATTAAGATCTGTTTGCATTTCAAGTTGCCTAGTCATAATTGTCTCCTTAAGCAAAGCTTTCAGTCATCAGTGATGCACTGGGTTATGAGAACACACCTTGCTATTTGGGAGAGAAACACACCTTGCCATTTGGGAGAGAAATGAATAAGAAGTTAACATGATTATGTTTACAACATTACTTTTTTTTTTTTTTTTTTGAGAGTCTTGCTATATAGATGAAGCTGGCCTCAAACTCACAGATCTACCTGCCTTCTGAGTGTGGGATTAAAGGTGTGCACCACCATGTCTGGCAAGTACAAATGTTAAAGAAAATTGCAGTGTTAATGCTTAAAATAGAACTATGGCAACATCTGTGTGCTTCTAAATTGTGAATGTTTTGAATGTATGTGACAGGACTATGGAACATCACATCTGGTACTGTGAGCAAAGGGTAACTTACAGTGTTACACGGCTGTTTGTCAGTGAGTGAATAAATACTTGATTGATTTGGTTAATTTGGTTTCTAGTAATCATGAAAGTAGAAAAAAGCTTCAAAGTTGCTGGTAACCCTAAAAGAATTACCAGAAGTGAGTAGTTGAGGGTAGCACTCAGGATAGGCTCCTGAATGTCTGGGTTCGATGATTGGTTCTGTGTCTTTTACAGGTGTGCCATTATCTACACAGTGGGGACCTCAAGGCTATTTCTACCCAATCCAGATTGCACAGTATGGGCTAAGTCATTACAGCAAGAATCTAACTGAGAAACCCCCTCACATAGAGGTGTATGAGACAGCAGAAGATGGGGACAGAAACATCAGACCTAATGAATGGACTGTACCCAAGGGCTGCTTCATGGCCAGTGTGACTGACAAGGCTAGATTCACAAACGTTAAGCAGTTTATTGCTCCAGGTGAGTCATGGGCTATGTGTTTGCTAAATTCAGATTGAGTTAGGGCACTGGTACTCATTTTTTTTTAAAAAAAAATTTTTTGTCTTTTTTGAGACAGGGTCTCCCTGTAGTCTCAGCTGACCTGAACTCACTATGTAGACCAGGCTGGCCTTGAACTCACAGAGATCCATCTGCCTCTGCCTCCCAAGTGCTGAGATTAAAGGTGTGCCTGGCAAAAAGTTTTTTTTAACACATTAGCAGATCCTTTATGTTATATAAATAGGTAGTGTCCCCTAAGTAGAATCCCAAAAAAAGAAACAGCTGGAAGAAAAAACAGTGCTATGGAAAGGAGTATTTACTGTGTCAAGAACCAAGCCATCGATTGAAGCTAAGATACAGGTACAGCTATTGAACCCTCAGGACCTGTATCCCATAAGAATGAAGTTCTTTAGTTTGCTTTGGTTTGGGTTTTGTAGTGCTGGACTCAAACCTAAGACTGTGCGTACTAAGCAAGCACTCTACCATTGAGTACACCCCCAGTCTCCTTGGTTTATTATAATATTTCAGTATAGAATAGTTGAATTTCTAAATTATTCTGCACTAATGTAAACTTTTTTTTAATGGTGAAAGCATCCCTTCATATTTTTTACCAAGAGTATTTTCTTTTGACAAAAAATTATAGCATTACCAAATAGGCCTGCTCCCATATTGAATTTTGTTAGTGCACTAAATTATCTCAAACTTCATATAAAACCATTTTCATTAATAAAATCATTTATAAGATCAAATTAACCTTATGCAACATTTCCCCTTTTACTGAGACAGTATCATTAATTAGGATGTAATGTATTTTCCTGCACTAATCAATATCCATGAAAATTAATGAGTACATTACTTTAAAAGACAGTGAAATAATCTTAGCACCTCAGGCTTAATTCTATCTGATGAAATGTTGTCAAGTCAGAACTCATTCCCTCCTCCCTCCAACCTTGCAGTCAGTAAATAAAGAGGAAAGGTTGTAAGACCTCCTCTGTATTCTCCCTTTGTCCTTTATTGATGATTGTGTAATTCATGGACCTTGAAAGCTACAATACAAATCTACTCATTCTAGATGGCCTTAAGTAATGGATTTAGGAGTGCTTAAAGCAGTGCAAATAAGAGGTGACCTTTAGTTTTTATTCTGAGGCTAGAATTTTTTTTCTCCTGTGGTGTTCTGTGATTCTCCAGTGCACAGATAATCTTTGCTTGTGGTAAAACAGCAGACTTGACTGGGTGAGAAGTTACAAGGAAATGCTTAAGAATATCTGTCTTATGATACCTAAGAAGTTATTGCAGCAGGAAATAATTACACTAAGCAAAAGACCATTTAAATTTGGGTACACTCAAGGAGTTTTAGTTTTACACTGATAGTGTTGCCTAGATTTGGGTAGAAAATAGCAGCCCTTCTCTTGATATCTCTCTGGGAGGTTTTCTTAGAACAGTCTAATTCTGCCCTGTTAAAAGCAACAGATTTCATTGATGCTTTGAGATGCCTTGAGAATACAAAAGACTTTTCCACATCCTACAGTGAGGTATCTTTCCTTAGCCCTTAATTCAATGGCCAGTTGCTGGAGATAAAATCACTTCTTCCAGTGGCTTTAAGTATACAGGGAACTGTGACAGCCACTTTGCTAGTAGGATATACTGTCTCAGAGTCCCACTCCATGTTGGTAAATCTGCTAGCTGAGAGTGGCATGCACATGTTGGTATCCTTGCATGCCTGTAGGTGCACTGTAAGAGCATGAGGGAACATGAGTTGTAGTTACCCAACAGCTGTTACTGGGAGCAGAGGAGAGGGAATAAAACAGTACGGCTGTGTCATGGAAACTCAATGTGAGGCATGAAAAATGTTTAGAAGATACAACTTAATGGAAGAAATTCAGAGCATCACTGTTGAGAAAGAAACTGGGACTTGTTCTTTAAAATATAGTTAGTGATCTAAGGCTTTGGAGGGCCAGGAGCTGAATGTTGGTGACATACATTTATTTGTTTGTTTGTTTATTTATTTATTTATTTATTTATTTATTTATTTATTTATTTTTCCTCTCTTGGGTTAGAGTTTGTTTTCCCCAAAAGCGAACAAAATCATGTGGCGTAAGGGACTGTTGTAATGTTGTACCCTTAATCCCAGCTCTCAGGAAGCATAAACAGGATAAGCATGAGTTCCAGGGTATCCTGGGCTGCATAGTGAGACTCTGATTTTACAAATCAGCTGGGAACCATTTATAAGTTGGTCAGAGTAGTCCAAGAGACTCCCAAAATAAAACAGGTGATTGCCAGAGCTCTTGGTTATCTCCCAGAACTTGAAGGGTAAGACCCTACTGTTGAAGACAGGACATACTTCAGACACAGGACTTGGAGCAGTGGAGCTGGAACTGGCCTGAAAGCCTCCTCCCTGAAGACTAGCTCTCATAGTTCTAGAAGATACTATGCAAGCTGCTAAGGGAGAAAATTAATCAGTGGTCCAACCCAGCTCTAAAGCCTAATAACCGCTGGGCACAGCAAACGACCTCTATTGGTGCAGTAGTGTCACTGTTATCTGGGGGGTAATCAACAGCCATCTAATTGGACTTAAAGCCCTCTCAGTGGGACTGAACTCATGGGTGGCACTGTAAGTATAGCCAGATACACATGGCTGGAGAGGTCTTAGATCCTAGAGAAAACCCTATCTCTGTCATATCTCTAGACAAATGAAATTTCTTACCATATGCTAAATATGGATCCTTATATTTACAGACAAGTGTACCATACAACACTCATCAAAGAAGCTTCTTTTTGCAACAGATGGAGTCTATTACAGAATTTCACAACTGGTCATACACAGAAATATATGTCTGAGAGGTGCCCAGTCCTAAGTGAAATATCTACAGTGGAACCTCTACATCTAATGCTCATGGAACATAGCAGAACAGGGGATGGAGAAAATATAGTACATCCCTCAGCTCTCACCAGCAAAGCTTCCTTATACAGCAGTGTGATGTACACAGAAGGCCACAACTGGCCAAGTTTTAGAGAATAAGAGACTGCAGAGTGTCCCTGCATAGGACCCCTATATTAAACCTCACCCACCCACCCATAGGACCCACCTCACCCAGGGACCATTGCAGAAGAGGGGCTGGAAAAACCTGAAAAGATTGTATGTCCATGGACATAAGAGAATCAGAGGCTTTCAGGCCACTGGAAGCTTGCTCATGTGAACTTGCAGCTATGGTGGCAGAATGCACAAGACCCAGGCTGACTCAATCAGGAAAAGACTCAGTGTGGAGCAAGGGAAATGGGCAGCAGACACTGGCCCTAGCCTAGGAACTTATGGCTATTGATTATTGCTGGGTGATGAAGAGTAGATCTTCTTTAAGATCTCTAGATAGGCTGACTAGACTATCTAGTGATGAACTTGCACTGAAGGACATCTGAATACAAATGTTGTACTGAATAGGACTCAACATATATGGCAGAATGCATGAGGTCTGGTGGATGCGGGAAGAAGTCTAAGTTTGATTAAGAACTATTGTATGAAATGCACAAAAACTCAAAAAATATTTTTAAAAAATCAACATACACACATGCACACACACAGTGGGGACCATTTTATAAGTCTGAAGCATATCTTCCTGGTTTTATTATATACATATATATTTTTTTGATAGGGTCTCTTGTAACACACAGCTGGCCTAGAACTCACTATGTAGCTAAGGATGACCTTGAACTCCTGATCCTCCTGCCTAGCTTCCCAAATGCTGAGCTTATAGGCATGCCCCACCATGTCTGGCTCGGTTCCTAATTTTAAAATTGAATATCTAGAACTTTTTGCTTGTTATACTCCATTAAGTTAAATTAGCTTTCCCAATGCATTTTTTTCATTTTACTTCTCACTTTTCCCTCTCTCCCTGGTCTAGCCATTCTTTCCCAGGCTTTTGGGTCATTTTTTTTTTCCCTGCCTGGCCTTCATCTCAGCGTTCATCCAGGTTATCAGTGGGACTGTTTTTCATTTGATGAAGTAGCTTAAAGACTATTCTTTTCCTAGATTAACTGAGTTGAATTGATAAATGAATTTATATATATTTAAAGTATACAATATGATGCTTTGATAAAGGTACATATTGTGAATTGATTACCAAAATCAAGATAGCTTACATATGGCTAGAGCAATGGCTCAGTGGCTAAGAGTACTGCATTTGCAGAAGATCTGAGTTCAGTTCCCAGCACCCATGTCAGACAGCCCCCAACCACCTAGAACTCCAGCTCCAGGAGATCTAAAGTCCCTAGCCTCTATGGATACATGTGGACAATCCACATACATACACAGAAACATAATTAAAAATAATTAATGAAGCCAGGTGTGGTGGTAATCCCAGCACTCTGAGATCTCTGTGAGTTCAAGGCCAGCCTGGTCAACATAGCGAGTTCCAGGCCAGCTGGAGCTACTGGGAGACCCTGTCTCAAAAAGACCAAAAAAAAAAAAAATTAATGAACATGCATGTGGTGGCACACTTAATCCCAGCCCTTGGGAGGCAGAGGCAGCTGGATCTCTGAGGTCGAGGCCAGCCTTATTACATAGTAAGTTTGAGACTTGCTGGGACTAGGGAGATCCTGTCAAAATAACAATAGTAAGAGGAAGAGGAAGAAGAGGAAGAGGAAGAAGAAGAAGAAGAAGAAGAAGAAGGAGAAGGAGGGGGAGGGGGAGGGACAGTTTACCTCATATGGTTTGTGCGTGCGTGCATGCGTGTGTGTGTGTGTGTGTGTGTGCGTGTGTGTGTGTGTGTGTGTGTTGGAAAGATGTTGACAGTCTGCTCTCTGCACATTTTAAGTGTACAGTACAGTATTATCTCTGGTCACCATGCTATACATTAGATCCTATAGCAAAAACCTTCTATCCTTTGACCACCGTCTCCCCATTTCCCTGCTTCTGAGTCCCTGACTACCACCATTCTGCTATATATTTCTGTGAATTCAGCATACTCTCTGATTACATTAGTAACTTACTGTTTTAATGCAGTTAGATTACAGTAGCAATCTTAGTTCCACATATAGTATCTGTCTTTGTCTGACCAGAGACAGGGTCTCCTGTAGCCCCAGCTGACCTAGAGCTCACTGTGTAGTCCAGGCTGGCCTTGAACTCACAGAGATCCACCTGCCTCTGCCTCCCTCAAGACCACTTTTAAATATTTATCATCCTTTGTTGACATGTACATGTGCCACATATGCCAAAAATAAAGCTGTAATAGCTCCTGGAAATAACCGCTCAGAAAGAGTAGGATTCATGGGTTCATGGACTTAGGGGATTTTAAACAGTAGAAAAATCAGATCTTTCTGTTAGTGGATTTGAAACCAGAATCTCCAACTGCACTGTGCTTTAAGAAGAGCTCAGAACTTCCCCTGCTGTGTTTTTGAGCTAGTAGACACACCATTCCTTAGGCAGCCACCCAGACTTTCCTGAATGGTGCTGGCATGTTGCATAATTTGATGACTGGGACTTCTTGATGACTCCCTCCTGTGTGTCCCAGAGCGCCCTCTGCTGGTGTTAAGGGTATATTTCATTAAATGTTTATAAAGTGAAAATTAGAATAGAATTCTGGGAAGAAACAGGCCTTAGCTCCCTCTTGTTTAGTAAAGATGGGTCTAGAAATATGTCATATGTGATCCTGCTGTCAGATGGATGAGTTAATACCTAAGAATAAAAAGCCAATCATTAGGGTAAACCACTTCACTGAGTATAATTAACCTTGAGTGACTTATGAGTCAGTGCAGGATCCTACAGTGTGTCTGGGATGTTGTCCTGAGCTCCAGACTCCATTTCACTGTAAAAGCAAGAAAGTACTAGTTAGAGAATACATGTTGACATTTTGCCAGAGAGAATGGATTTTTGCTGCATTAGAAGTTTACTATTGGGGGCTGGAGAGATGGCTCAGCGATTAAGAACACTAGTTCTTTCAGAAGACCCGGGTTCGAATCCCAGCACCCACATGGCAGCTAACAACTGTCTGTAACTCCAATTCCAGGAGATCCAACAGCCTTTTTCTGTCCTCTGCCAGCATTGCATAACATGGGTGCACTTACGTATATGCAGGCAATACATGCATACACGTAAAATAAAAATAATAAAAATTTAAAAAATGTTTACTATTGAGATTAGTTTCTAGAACGTGATGACATTATTCGATGCCGAAGTCTGTCTTGGTGCTCTCAGTCTTGATGTGTCTTCCATAATTGTCTTCTCCATCAAACACAGGAAGAGCCTTGGGCCACGTATATCTGTGGACTCCAGCTGGCAAGGCAATCCCCACATGCTGATGCTGTCCAAGCTGATCAGTGTTCACAGTTCTAATCTTTGCTCCTGGTGACACACTGAGGATCTCAAGGTCTGCCTGAAGCAGAGATCTAACTGTGTGGCTAGCCTATGCAAAGTAACCATCACTGAGTATTGCTTTGGGGGTATATTCCAGTGTCGTTTATCTTCCTCGGTCTTTGTACTTGGGCCCAGGAAGCCCTGACTCTAGTTCCTGCTATAATGTTAATTAATTTTTGTCTTTTGGCAAACTGTTTAACCTTGCAAAACCTGTAGCTCTTCAACTCTAAAATAGAATTAGAATTCCTGCTTTAAGCCTCGGAAGAGTAAGGATCAAATGAGATTGTATATGTGGATGCACTCTGGAAATTTTAGCTGTGTAAGGATCAGGATGTCCATGTTTCCCTTGATAGAACTTGTACTTTTGTTAACCTTGTTGCTACTTGTTTTGGGGGTATTGTACCTTATTTCTTTTTCTTTTTTTTTTTAATGTGTATGAGTGTTTGCCTGCATATATGTAGAGGTCAGAGGAGGGCATTGGCTCCTTTGGAACTGGAGTTATGGATGGTTGGTTGTTAGCCACCACGTGGGTACTGGAAACTGAACCCAGGTCCTCTGCAGGAATAGCTAGTGCTCTCAGTTTCCGAGCCTTCTCCTTAGCCCATGCTATTTGGTGTTAATGTGTAGTGTCTCTTTTTGGTGGCTGTAGATGAGCAGCATGCAGAGGGTCATCTTTCTGAGAGACAGCTTGTGCTGTGCGTCATCTACAGAGGAGAAACCTATGTTACAATTTACAGATAAAATAGCTTTTACCATTTTATTAGCATGTGGTAATCAGTGGCAATAGTCACCATCATTTATTTATCTTTGTTTCTTTTTTAAATTCTCAAAATTATCCTGCAAAGTAATATCTCTAACATGTGAAGAAACTAGGACTTATGAAGGACTATTTTGCCTTTTCAAAGCTAATAGTAGAATAAGAATTCAGATCTAAGGTTTTAAAGTATATGCCTTCTCCTCACCCCTTTCTTTTTATCTTATACATGAACCCATTGCTTTATTTTCATTCACAGTTTCAGGGAATATCAAAAATAATTTTCAACCAGGCGTGGTGCGCATGCCTTTAATCCCAGCAGTTGGGAGAGGAGGGCAGATCTCTGAGTTCCAGGCCAACTGGGACTACAGGGAGACCCTGTCTCAAGAAGAGCAAAATAAATAAATAATAATTTGCAACATCAAATTAAGAACATAGACTGTAGCGCACCATATTGGACAAGCTGTTCTTTGTATTTGGCGGTTACTTGACTGTCTCAGTTACTCATCTGTAAGGTAGAAGCAGACCTAGCATACACTCATAACTGAGGGTGAGAAAAGGTCCAAAGTGTCAAACTCTTAGAATAAAAGACATGAAATACCAGTTACATTAGAAATCATAGCTCCAGCTGACTTGCTCACTATGTAGACCAGGCTGGCCTCAATCTCACAGATACCCACCTGCCTCTGCCTCCCAAGTGCTAGGATTAAAGGTGTGCACCACCATGCCCAGTATTACGTAGCCATTCTTTGTAGAACTTCCAGCCTCTCTTTTGTAATATGTGCTGAGCCAACTTTGGGCTTTTTTATTATTATTATTAACAGAATGAGTGTAGTAAAATAATCAGTTGACATTAGATCTAGAAAACATTGATCAGCTGTTCTTATTTGCCCTGAATCCTTTTCTGTAAACCAGACAGGGTAAAAGATAAGACACCATATCCATATGAACACACCAAATTTCCTATTTATTAAAAATTAAAAATAGTAATCTGATAACAAATACATGTTAATTTTGTATGGGCAATAGTTGTCAAGGATAAATTGCAGTGGAATTTCAAGTACAGAAATATTTTTACTCTAACCTCTTTATTGGTCTCTTGCCCCTACAGAAGCCAGTGAAGGTGTATCCTTACAGCTGGGAAACACAAAGGACTTTATTATCTCATTTGACCTCAAGTTCTCAACAAATGGAAGTGTGTCTGTGGTTCTAGAGACCACAGAGAAGAACCAGCTCTTCACTGTGCACTACGTCTCAAATACCCAACTCATCGCTTTTAAAGACAGAGACATATACTACGGCATTGGGCCCAGAACCTCATGGAGTACAGTTACCAGGGACCTGGTCACTGACCTCAGGAAAGGAGTGGGCCTTTCCAACACAAAAGCCGTCAAGCCAACCAAAATCATGCCCAAAAAGGTGGTTAGGTTGATTGCAAAAGGGAAGGGATTCCTGGACAACATTACCATCTCAACCACAGCCCACATGGCTGCATTCTTTGCTGCTAGTGATTGGCTTGTGAGGAACCAGGATGAGAAAGGTGGCTGGCCAATTATGGTGACCCGGAAGTTAGGGGAAGGGTTTAAGTCTTTAGAGCCAGGGTGGTACTCTGCTATGGCACAAGGGCAAGCCATTTCTACCTTAGTCAGGGCCTACCTTCTAACTAGAGACCACATTTTCCTCAATTCAGCTTTAAGGGCAACAGCCCCATACAAGTTTATGTCAGAGCAGCATGGAGTTAAAGCTGTGTTTATGAATAAACATGACTGGTATGAAGAATATCCAACCACACCTAGCTCTTTTGTTTTAAATGGCTTTATGTATTCTTTAATTGGGTTGTATGACCTAAAAGAAACGGCAGGGGAAAAGCTTGGGAAAGAAGCCAGGTCCCTGTATGAGCGTGGCATGGAGTCCTTAAAAGCTATGCTGCCCTTGTACGATACTGGCTCAGGGACCATCTATGACCTCCGCCACTTCATGCTGGGCATTGCTCCCAACCTGGCCCGCTGGGACTACCATACCACTCATATCAACCAGCTGCAGCTGCTCAGCACCATTGATGAGTCCCCAATCTTCAGGGAATTCGTCAAGAGGTGGAAAAGCTACCTGAAAGGCAGCAGGGCAAAGCACAACTAGAGCTTGCAACCAAAAGCGCACCTCAGCCTCTTCTGAATGCGGAGGCTCCGGCTCTGCCTTAGCAGCAGAGCTCAGCAGGCATCGGCACATTTTCAAGGATGCATATTAGGATTTTTCGGGTTACAGAGATGTGATAAGAGGTAAGAGCCTGAAAACCAGTCTTCTGAAACAGTTGCATTCTGAGGGTCGGATGTTTAGAAATGTGGGCAGCATTCAGAGCAGAAAGTGTTTAGTTAGTGGACTGAGCAAAGAGGTTGCTCTCCACTTTTCTTTGCCCATCTTTCAGGCCCTCCACAGAGTCACTCTCAGTCTGAGAAAGATAGTGATAAGAAGCGATGGCTGGCCTGCTGCTCAGCACTCACCTGAAAAACTAGTGTGGAGCTCTTTTAAAATGTGATTATTTATATTTATACTGAAAGCAGACTTTTTAAAAAACAATGTGCTGTAATACAGTAAATGTGTGTGTAGCCTGGATAGTAGATGGTGTTCAACTTTTGAAAAGTATTTCTTTTCCTGTAGGTTCATTTCTTGGGAGTGAGTGAGAGTTTATTGCATTTGTTCAATTGTTACATATGGACACTTTTGGATTATAGTTTTCTTGAACTGTGTAAATTACAAACACAGCCCATGTTCAGGCTTCACAGTTCTGTAGTGTAAGCACAACTGAAACAAAACTGTTGACTGCACAAGAAATGACAAAAATGCTATGTTTTATGAAACTTGATCTACAATCAGTAAAAGTTTGATAATCATCTGTCCCTCCCTCTGTCCCTAATGCGATGCTTCTTTGTATTTCATTTCATACTACACTTTGATAGTTTTGTCCATTTGGGGGGGCATTACATGGAATATTTATTATAGACTTATACTGGTGAAGGAGCTAGTAATTTGAAGTCCGCCTTCTGTCCCTTTTAGGAATTCTTTTCCCCTTTTAAAGGGAAATTGCTAAGTTAATTCCTGCATACAGCAATCACAGTAGAGCCTTTCCTAGCTAGATTGTTTTGGGTCATCACTTTCCAAACCGTGAGTTCTATCAGCTTTTCCTCTCAAACTTAATCTTAAATTGTTTCAGCTATGAAATGGAGGAGATGCTATTACATCTGCCATCCATGTCATCAGATGTTCCTTAGGTTATGTGTGACCCTCCCATAAGGTTTTGTGGCTCTGGGGCCATGGGCTTTAAGCCCTGTGTCCACAGGGCTTTAAGCATGAGATTAGAGCCAGCAGGGATTGATTTTGCTTTGGCTTCTGTTTGGAGGACAGTACAGTGCATACAGTTTAGTACCATGAGCCCCACATTTTCTAGGACAGAACCATGCAGTTTACCTGTGATACCTGTCAGATGCACATTTGAGAGCCAGGTGGATTATCTACCTGCACACCATACCTTCATTGAATTCAGCTGCCAAGTACTGCTTGAAACTGAAGAATATGTACATATTTGTGTGCATGATATATATGTAAAGTACATTAGCATCAAAGGACACAGGAGAAAAGATCTGTGCTGAAGACATTGAACTGCCTATAGAGAATAAGCTTAAATTCCCAATTTATATGACCACAACTCTTGGTTTTGCCCACAGTGGAAATAGGTCATTAGGGTCCCCTTGCTTTTAACCTTCATGGCTCTTATATAGCAGCAGGTGAGCGTGCACATTTTGTCTCAGCAATAAAGATGGGGACTCCCTCATTTTTAGTTTTAGTGCCGATGTTCAAAATGTTCATCCATTTGGGACCACCTTTACACCTTTACTTTATCAAATTTGCTACTAGAATGGCCCCAACTTCTGCTTTGTGTTTGTATACTGGTCTTCAGACAAGAGGAGTCAGTGAAAACAAAGTGGTACTGCTTCTGTGACAAACACCAGTGCCTTACCAGTGCGACTGTCCTTTTCCACTGATGGAGAAATGGCAATTCACAGCTGTTGGTTTTCCACTGCCTTCCACGTTGCAGCAGCTACTGATCTGTCTTGTGATCCCACAGTGGCCTAAGAGGGCGTGCTGAGCTGTAGCAGCTCTGTGTGTGCAGTGCTTGCCAGACTTGAGACCTCTGAGTCATCTGGAGTGCAGGTATGCTTAAGTCTGCCGGGAAGCGTGCTCTTCTGCATGTTTGACAAGCACTGGAGATGTGCTGGGGGAGAGCTGGGCACATGAAGAGGAGCACTGCCCAGGACCATCTACTACATTTTTGCCTCCAGAAAACTACAGTTTCTGAGGCTTTTACATTATGTAAAATGTTTACTTATTCTGAGTTTAGAGAGAATGGGGAGGGTATTTTTAAAGTGTTGGGTTTTTTTATATTTTTCTTTAAAATTAAATGTATTGATATTGTTCACTTATCTTGAGTTAGCTCTGATGTTAAGTCTATTGCCACTTCTGTTGTAAAAACCAGCCAAAAGCTTCTGGACAGAGGTCATGTTTGATCCTTTAGGAGTTAGTGTATATAAAGGCTTCATCCCGAGCCACGCAGTGTTCGTGAGCAGGTGCAGACATGGCACATAAGCACAGCTCTCCAGATGTGGCGGGCCTTTTTCTTTGTTGTTATGCAAACTTTCCCAAAAGCTGCTATTTTCATCTCCTTGGAATTGTTTTCTTGATTCCCCTCCATTGTACATGTGGGCTGTATGCCATGTGTTAAATATGCAATAAAGTGTTTACTGGATGCCCTGCTGAAGGGTGGTCCTCTGTAAAGCTGTACAGACTTTGCAGTTTAAGCACAATGTGCACATGTTAGTTTTATATACAGCGAAACTTGATTTTTTGCAAATGGAAAGGTATTTTGTTTCTATAAAAAGTAAATGGGTTGTTTGTGCTTAATGTAAAGCTGCTTTATAAAGTTGTAAAATAAAGTTTTTATCTTAAAAAATATACCTGTGTATTTTTCTTTCTTTTCTATTTAGTTTATGATTATTTGAGCCCAGCAAGCAGATTTCTGTCACTCCCTGTTTAACCTGCAGACAGGGAAACAGTAAAACACAGAAGCTGTCACTTTAAGGAGTCTTAGTCAGTAGGGGGCAATAGCATGCACAGGACCACTTCAGAAAAATAAATGCAAACTGTAGTCCCTGGGGAACTGTGGTGGAAGGGATGGAACCTCACCCCTGGGCTCCAGGGGTGAGGACAAGTGGAAGCAAGGATGGGGTAACGAGCAGAAGCGGGGTACCCAAGCCCACCAGTGTGCGGACACCCTCTCCCTGCTAAGTCAGGCTTAGTAACAGGTTTAACTGAGAGTGCTCTCCCTGTCATTCTCTATATGTCCCTCTTCAGAATAAGCTTCCCATGATCTCTCCCTTCTCAGTAGTCTAGGTTCCCAAATACACAGGAAACCAGCCTGTGGCTTCATGTTACATTCTGTTACACACTTTTTTAAAAGTCATAAATGGGGCTGGAGAGATGGCTCACTGGTTAAGAGCACTGGTTGCTCTTGCAAAGGATCCAAGGTCAATTCCCAGTACCCACATGGCAGCTAACAACCATAACTCCAGTTCCAGGGGATCCAAAGCCCTCTTCTGACCTCCATGGGCATTGCACGACAGGTGCACTTACATGCAGGCAATACACTCGTACACATAAATTTTTAAAATTATATGTGTATATGTAAATCCTTAACAGTGTTGTTTTTGTACTGGAGTTGATCTCTAGTCAGCTGCCCTGGCTGCACAGGTTGCCACACGCTGCTGCCTGTCGCTCTTGGAGCTGTCCCTTGGCTCCCACCGTCAGCTGAAAAATAGCCATGTGGTTGCAGACTGTCTGGGGCCAGAATGGAATACAGGCTACTCTTGCTTTAATTTTGTAATTTCTAGAAAAATTAGGTGTTGGCCATGCTGCTCCAGTGGGCTGAACATCTCATGCTCATTTCTCCATTGCCCTTGGGGGGCAAGTCCTCCATGCCACAGCAGACTTGGCAGCCTAGTGGGCTCTCCTTTTCCGCCTTTGTATTCAGGAGGCCCTCACAGTGACTGAGCTGGTCTCTGTCTTCCCCCAAGAATCCAAAACTGAGTTAAATTTTTAAAACTGAAGAGGATACATGATGGAAAGCAAAGGTTTTCACCTTAATGGTATTCCAGGCCCTGGATCCAGTGCATTTCTGAGAGCAATAGGGCTGCATGCAGGTTCCACAGGGTATGGCTGAACTTGGTTCCTGTCCATTGGAACATCTGAACCCTGATAAACAGTAGTGATGCCACTATTGAAAAAAGCTGTCTGCAAAGGGTGCATTTCCCTCCTGTCTGGGCCAGTGGAGGAGTTCGCTAGAGCTACTGTAACAAAATGCTACAGGCTAGGGCAGCTTAAAAGAATACATTCATTTTCTCAATTCTGGAACCTGGAAGTCTAAAATCAAGCTGTTGGTGGGGTCGGTTTCAAGGCTACTTTCCCTCATGTGGTTTTCCTTCCATCTATAGGGTCCGTATCCTGATTCCATAAGGACACTAGTCGGATCGGAATAGGGACTGTTCTGTGACCTTGTTTTACTTTAATCACTTCAAAGGCTCACTCTCCACCTATGGTCATGTTCTGGCATACTGAGGCTTAAGACTTCAACCTCAATTGGGGGGCAAGGTATCACGATTCAGCCTGTAACAATCACTCTTCACACAGAGCACCCAGGAATGACCGTGTGATAAATAGCAAAAGCCCCAATTCAGATGCACTAAGAAAAGGAAAACACTAAATTGATGTTTTTAAAATGTACCAAGAAGGGCTGGAGAGATGGCTCAGTGGTTAAGAGTGTGTACTGCCCTTGCAGAGGACGGGGGTTTGGTTCCCAGGCACCCACATCAGGCAGCTCACAGCCACCTGTAACTCCAGCTCCAGGGGATCTGACCTCTTTTGCCTACCTCAGGCACCTACACATATACATATGCACATAGCCACACACACATACATATATCCATAATTTTAAACATTTTAAAAATATACCGACATAACTGGGCGTGTTGGCACGTCTTTAATCCCAGCACTAGGTAGGCAGAGGCAGGCAGATGTCTATGAGATTGAGGCCAGCCTGGTCTACAGAACCTGTTCCAGGCCAACTAGGGCTACAAGGAGACCCTGTCTGAAAATACACCAAAAACTGCCATTCTTTCATTCTTTTTACTTGTACTATTTCCATAACCCATTTTGAATACAGAACTTGGAAGATACCCTAAAGGCATAGAAAGATTTGAGGACATGACTTAGTTGGTAAAGTGCTTATGATGTAAGCATGGGGCCCTAAGTTCAAGTCCCGTACTCATGTAATCAACTGGGTACAGCAGCACCTGGCTGTACACTCAGCACTGAGGAAGCAGAGACAGGAGGATCCCTGGGACTTGCTGGCCAGCCTGTCTCGCCAATCACAAGATCAGGTTTGTTGAGGGACCCTGTTTCAAAAAATGCGGTAGACTGACTGAGGAAGACAGAAGTTGACGTCTGACCTCAACACACACTTCCACACATGTACAAACAGCATAGAAGTATGTGAAAAATGCAAGTTACAAGATTGTTCTTAGGACAATTTTCGTAATCCCAAATCTGCATTATTATAAACTGTTAAAAACAGCAACAATCTAAGGATAAAACACTGATTTCCATTTTACCAGTCCATTAAGGACATCAGGTTGAAAACGGATGTGAATTTAAATGTGTTGGTGATGAATTTGAATGTTTGCTGCTCAATTTCTGGTGAAAAGAAATACATTTGCCATCTGGAGAAAATGATTGATAACTAGTGTGTGTGCTGTACTTCCTGAATGGTAAATAGCAGCACCACTTTAATTTTACTAATCCTTGTCCAGGAGTGGAAGGAGTTTGCAAAATGATAGCTCTGCAAAAAGCCATTAAGAAGTAACAAAACAGCAAAAAGGGGCAGAGGAAAGTCCTGTAAGGGAAAAATAGAGTAGCCCCCAAATGAGGCACCCGGGTTAGGCTGTCGCTATTGGGCCACCCACGGTTCATTGCATCTAAGCTTCCGGTCAAGACAAGCTGGTGCCTGCCTGAGATTTTGCTCAAGGTGAAACCACTGATGTAAGAAGTATGTGTGGTAGGGGGGGTTCAGGCTAGGGAGATAACTCAATTGGTAAAGTGCTTGCTGTGAAAGCTTGAGAGCCTGAGTTCAAATCCCAGACAGCGGGGCTCAATATGGGGTGCCTGGAATCCCAGTGTTGGAAAGGTGGAAACAGATGGATCTTTGGGGCTCATTGGCCACCAAACTGAGCTCCAGGTACACTGAGAGACCCTGTCTCAATAAAATAAAAATAAAAAGGGGACACCAGAGGTCAGCCTGTGGCCTCTGCATGCCATGAACACATGAACACACAAAAATGAATGGCTGTTTCTTATCAGTCCAGAAGCTCCAGTGTCCATTGCTTTGGGAGCCAGGGAAGGAAGTAAATGCCTGTAGTGAGGTGAAGGTGAGATCTTGCTTATAAACAAACACACAGCAAACTACATGGCTTGGATTCGATGCCCCTTCTGCTACTCTTTTTAATATCTGGCAAGATTAACTCTTTGGAATTCAGTTAAATGCAGTGGGGAAGCCCAGACATCCCCAAATCCCATGTATAGCATGTCAGGCTAGGTGGAGGAGTCTCTTTACCTTCTTAGCTCCTTCAGGGGGCAGGATCTCCATCTAAGAACCTTCCTAGAGGGAATTTCCTGGGCAACACTGAGCCAGAATAGGTTTTCAGTTCCTAATATCTGCATTCAACAAACTTCCCTGGATTCGTGTTTCTGGCTTACCTTTGTTAACTATTTGTGATGCTGTCTCAGTTACTTTTCCTGTTCCTGTGATAAAACACCCTGACAAAACACCTTCAGGGAGAAAGGGTTTATTTTGGCTGACAATTGGAGGTTACAGTCCATCATGGCAGGGAAGTCACAACAGCAGGAGCTTGAGACAACTGGTCACCCCACAGTCAAGAAGAGTGTGCAGGCTTGTGCCCAGCTCACCTATTCTTCATACAATCCAGGATCCTATCCCAGGGAATGGTGCCACCCACAGTGGGCGGGGCTTCCCACCCCAATTAACCTTATTGAGATAATTCCTTACTAGTAAACATGGACACTTGTCTCCTAGGTGACTCCAGATCCCGTCAAATTGACAACACAAACCATTACAAAGCCCCTCTATGGTCCCTTTTCAATGGTCTCAAACTATTGGCTGGTATCCTTAAGGATCTTACCCAGAGCTCCGTATATTAAGATATGTATATAAGTGTGTGCAAATATACATGTAAACTCAGTGAATGATTCCCAGGCACTGCTGCTACAAGGGCTGCAGCAGTTCTGACCTGTGGTAGGATGAAGTCCCAACCCCGTGTGAGTACATGAAGCATGGATTTAGGGCGTGCACATTCTTTTATCTGTGGCTATCTAAAACAAAACATGTTTAAGCCAGGTATGGCGGCGTACCTATAGTTCCAGCTATAGGTGGGGGGTGGGAGTGAGTTTGAGACCAGCCTCATTCAGTGAGGCAGGAGGATGATGAGTTTGAGACCAGCCTCACTCAGTGAGGCAGGAGGATGATGAGTTTGAGACCAGCCTCACTCAGTGAGGCAGGAGGATGATGAGTTTGAGACCAGCCTCACTCAGTGAGGCAGGAGGATGATGAGTTTGAGACCAGCCTCACTCAGTGAGGCAGGAGGATGATGAGTTTGAGACCAGCCTCACTCAGTGAGGCAGGAGGATGATGAGTTTGAGACCAGTTTTCAGGGCTGGGAATATGGCTCACTGGCAGAGCACTTGCCTACTATGTGTGACTATAGATTCAATTCTAGCACTGCAAAGAAAAAAAGTATAAAACATAAATCCAGGTTATAGCTGAAATAGACAAACTTCTGAGCTTCTTCCTGCTTTATGCTTCCAAGAGTCCTCACCTTGGACTTCGT